TCGTGATGGTTGCAGATGGTTGCAAAACCAATCGAATAAAAAAACAGTTCACGTATTGCCCTGATTTGGCCTGCCATTTCCACAGGTGTAAGCCAGCCTCTCTGAAGCAGACAGTCCTCCTTTCCTTCGGAGCAGTAACATTACATGGGTATAGAGCCTACTATTTTCAAGTCTGTTTCAAACAATGCTTTGGCTCAGACGCTCCTCTTTCACTGAGGACTTTTAGGGACTGGAGATTGGTACAGTATGATGAGAAATCCCCAAGCTTAACTTACTTTCTCCGCTATTCTACATGAAGAACAGTCTCTACCTTACGTTGATCCCTGGAAGATGCCCACGTCCAATTACCAATTGGACATTACCAATTACCAAACTTTCAGTGAAGTTCACAGCGCAGATTAGCAGAGGAGCAGTCCTGAAACTTGTTCAGTATCCTTGAACTTTCATTACAGTCAAACACCTGACCCTGGACTAAGGGAAAAATGATCAGCGACCCCAGGTTTTAAGTATCTGCTTGGTATTTCACTTCCCATTTTCCCTGGAATTTCAGGTGCTCTGAAATCACTTCTAACTGCAGACTTGCACACACTCACTCAGTGAGGGATACAAGCAGCAGCACAGTCTGAACCCCCTGCCTCATTAAGATGCCCTGGAAACTCAAAGGCAATCAAATGCTAGAAATTCCAGTATCACTGCCATCTGACTTTCCTGTTGCACACCTGCGTTTCACAGAAACAAATGAAAAAGAAGCAACAGAAGCAATATGATGCTTCCTGGCTTTGCAGGTAATGTTGAACATACCAAAATAGCAAAAGGCTGCTGAGTTCAGGCTGAGAAGGCTATATGCTGCTCCACAGTTTAACTCTGAAAGCATAAGCTTCACCTCGCAATTACCAGGTCTCACTGGTGGCTTACATACACAGAGTAGCAGTATAATAAAAGAGCTGACTTTGAGAAGTAGTCTACTCAAAACCACATGATAAGACAGCCTGAGAAGTATTACCAGCAGGCAGCCCAGAAACAACACTGTGCTCTGGAACATTACACGAAATGCTATTGGCAGGAATTAATTCAGTCCGACTTCTGTGAACATTAAAGGTCACAGCAGAAGCATCAAACACATACACAACACCCTTGCACCTTCTCCACTTCCCAAGCCCAAAATGACAGACAGGTACACACAGGTGTGCTTTGCCTGGGTCAGCAGAATGCCTATCTACAGCCATAGCAACGCTGCCTGATAGCAAAGCCTTTGTGAAGTGAGCACTGGGTTGTGCGGGCAGATACAGGGCAGATTGAAAGAGACTATGATTAGTCAAAACAAACAGATTAAACAGAATGGTAAGCTCAGCTGAACAGAGAGGGGAGCTACCCTGCCTGTGCAAACACTTGCCTCTAATCTTAACTAAATAAGGCCAACATCTATTTTAACACAATCAATTTTGTTTTCTATTTTACCTTTTAAATGAGATTGCCATACTGTAGTCTTGCAGGTGATTACTTAGCTTTCCTGTGTTCAAAAGGAGCAATAGACCAATATTTCTCATGGAGAGAAGGCAGGTAATATGGCAACACCACCAACAGAGACTCCTGAAATTGCTGACAAAAACAACACAGTAGATGGTGCTGCTGGGAGCCAAAAGCCACATCTAAAATTTATATCCAAAGTCGATTACAAGAAAGCTGGTTGTAAGTTTCATTTCCTTCAGTCTTATGCTTCTCATCCCAAGCTTCCCTCTTTGTTTTTGTTTCTTTACCAGCCTCGTCTATGAAAGGAAGGCTGAAAGTATGAGGGCACTCAGTTGTCACATTGAACGTTAAGTACAACACACAACAAAAAGACTGATGCCATCATACAGTCAGTAAACACAGGTCTATGCTAGTTAAGACAGGTGGGTTACATGTTACCGTAAAATTTACATCCAGTTCTCTACCATTATGCTAATCCAGTCAAGGCCTGGAGCTCTCCAGTCTTTTCATTGCTCCCTTCTATGACAGGAGTTTTATATAATCTGTTTCTCTTTATCCCTATCGTCTCTACTATTTCAACCCCCTCCCCCCTCAAAAAAAAAAATAAATATAAATATATATATATATATATAAAAATTCTAGCTTTGGTAGGATAAACAAAAGCAGCTACAACTATACTTGTTAGGTCTACTAAATGTAAAAGTATGACTGTGAATTATATGCAAGTGGCAGGAAAAACAAAACTAAAAAGTATAGGGTAAATGAAACCATTTTGTTCAATGCCCAAAGTGTAACAGAGCAGGAGTTCAAAACTTTAACACGAAAACCTAAGTCTTATTGCTGAACAAAATACATGAAAAAATAATTTATCAACCCATGAGGAAATTCTGTGGTAACTTGCTACCAAGCTCAGTGTATTTCTTTCGAGGAGCTGTAAAACACAAGGTATTTTTCATAATCTGGATTGGTTCACTTTTATGCATTCAGGTGGATATTCACACATTCAGCCTAAAGGACTATTTTGCCCATGATGAACTTCTTATATCCTAATTATTCAACGGTGTAAAATGTTTTGAAAAAAGATAGATATTTATCCAACTAATCACTTAGTAAACTTATTTTAAAGTGACTAAAACTGAGTCTTCACAAATTTCTGCTTAGGATTTTAATAATAAAATTCCTTCCCTTGCTACACTGATATGCAGAGAAAATTGATCTCTAAGATTTTATTTATTTAGGAATACAGTATTACCACTTTTAAACTATGGGTATTCTCATCTCTCCTCATAATTAGCAAGATGCATCCAATTAATGATGAATCACTCTACATAAGTTTCCTGTTTAGAATGTACTGGCAATACCACTGCCACAGTCAACAGAGCTCAAAATGGGGAAGAGAGACTCCCTTGGTTACACATCATAGCATTTCTGCACATAAGCCAAAAAAAGTTTTCTAAATTTGTGTGCATCTCCACCTCCAGAAGGAAACTGTTAACTTCAGGAGAGCCGTCACTACGTCACTGACAGAAGCTACTCTACTGTGTGCAGGTAGAGATGCATATACACTACACACTGTATATGATGTACAGTGAGAGATCACTACTAGAATTAAGGAAAGTTTTACTTATTGTGATCCTAAACACTGTTAGCACATCGGTAAGAAAATGTTGCCTGACAGAAACCGTTGATATTTTGATTGCTAAGCACCAGGACATGTCAGAACATCTGCTGGAATCCACTATTTTTCTCACCAAAAATTGGGTCACAATCCCATGCAGAGTGCTGAAGAAGGTTAAGAATGAACAGACAGACAATTTGGTTCAGTCTAGCAGTGCCATGCCCTTGGAGTAACTGAAGGAAAGTACCTTTCAGCATCAAAGTAAAATAAACTCAGAAGAGTCTCTGTCTACATTCTCAACTGAAAATTTTGGTCAAGTTGCACTTTCTGAAATAGACAGTTCATTCACACACTACCTACTTTGCTGATTAATTCTGCCTTGCCTGAAGAAGTTTTTCTTCACTTTCAGGAATTGCTGCACCTTCTCCAGGAATCTGTTGCCCAAGTTACATCTCCTGGTTTCTGACGCCTCCTAGGAAGGCTTGTGGAGCTCTCAAAGTTCTGAGGTATGTCAAAGTTGCTTCTGTAACTCCTCAAATACTCTGCTGGAAGCTCTGTAGCTGGAAAGACTATCATCACGAAGGAAACTGCTCTCAGGTATCCCTAGCTTTCTATTTTTTAAAATAACAATTGAGATAAAATAACAGGTTTGGGTACATTCAAACAGGAACTTTACATTTCAGTGGTCATTTATGAGTTATTTCTGGTTTTGACTCACTAATATCTAAGACTGTAAGGCATTTAACCTTCAACAGAAGAATTGCTTTGACATCATAAGCTTCTTCTCACTGATTAGTTTGCCTCCCAAGGTTTTAAAGAACACACAAATATTCCAGACCACACAATAAAACCAACACAGTAAAGATAACTACGTCTTCCAGAAGTTTACAAGGAACTCCAGCAGTTGATTTCTTCAAGCTGAGCAGAAGTAAGCATAAAATGAACAGCTTGAAACAGAGCAGTGGCACAAGAAACAAAGAACATTCCCCCTACTAATCTTACTTCATACTGAGATTTACATGATGCTTTAATAGCAGAGGAAGTCCTCATAACGGAGGAAAGCCTCCAATCCAAAGCTATTGAGAGGCACCAATTATTTTAAGTGGTGACCTTTCAGAGGTCTTCAAATGACTAAATATATAGTTTCTACTTTATAGCACCATGAACAGTCTACTGTAACTGAGAGTACCAAATTCCATCGATTCTTTAGAAAATAAAGAAAACTCTTAGAAAAAAAAAAAACAACACAAGTAGAAAGCTTGCTACTAGCTCTAGTGATCAACTTATTAGTTTTCACTCTATGCAAAGAAAATGGAACAATATTAAGGTGAATGAATTTAGGTGTAGATCAAAAAAATGAAGGATTATGCTGCTGGGGAGTGAAGGATTATCATCACTTACCTCCCTCATCCAGAAGCTTCCCACTCAGGGGCTGGGATGTATCTGAAGAGTAACATGTAATGGAAATTTGTAGCATTAAATTGGAATGCTGATTGGAAGCACCTGATGGAGAAGAGGTGAGAATACCTGCTGTTTTAGAAGTGTGAATAGGATAATCCCAAAATCTGACTTTCTGGTCTTCTGCTCTACCACTAACTATTAAGCTTAAATTTGTTTAGAAACAGGGGAAAAATACTACAGCAGTGAGTTGCAGTAAGTTACTGGAGAACAGTTTTCCAAACCAATAAAGTAAAAAAAAGGCTCAAGTTACAGTTTTTAAACTAAATCATAACCTCATGACACCAAATAGTCAAATAATAGGCAATAATTAGCATAAAAAGGAGATAGAAGTTTACATCAATCTGTACAGTGATACAGCCAAAAAAACAACCAACAAACAAAAACACACCCATCATCTCCCTATCAGAGTATTTAAATACATAAGTCAAAGCTGCAGAAAACATAGTCTTACCTAGTAAGTGTGTACTCCCTGAGTCCTGAATGCAGGTTCATGGCAGAAAAAGTACCTATGCATCCACGCAATCGTTTATCTCGACCAATCTTCCACGTTACAAACAGTGGGCTGTTTTAGGAAGGAAAAAAGAAAGACACGATCACAGGAGCACTATGGACAGCATGGAATGTCAGTAACAGTGCCCTTCCTTTTAGGGTAACTAAAGAGAGGACTAACACATAAATTAACGTATCTAAGTTGCAATTCTTTTGACTGCTCTAGGAATGCTGCTCATGTAATATGTTAGAAAATAAAGACTAGCAGAATATTTAATACACAGAACAAAGTTCTGCTGGTAGGAGATAGGATAGGATGCTTAACATCCTGCACTTGACGTCTCCTGACAACAGGAAAAGCCTCACGTCAGACATTAATCAATAAAGAAGCCTTCAGAGAAGGGAAAAACACCTGTGTCATGCTAGTTCTCACCTGGATACACTTTGGTCTTTAACAACGATGGCAAGAAACTACCCAGGAAGTATTTCTGAAAACAAGCAAATTTAGGAATATTCTCCACATGTAAAGGACTGCCTGAGCAAAGGTTATTCTTTCCACAAATCCCAACTCATCTCCAGTTCATGTTCAAGAATCTCACAAATGAACTGAAGCAGAACAGAACCCCTAATGTAAGCTGTACATATCAAGAGTTCAACCATTACAAAGAAATATTTCTATTAACAAACAATTCTGTATTAATCTAGACAGTAAGCTAACAAGAAGCCATGCAACTTTTGGGGATGAAAGCTTTCTTTTCTGTCCTGTATCACTGTATCAATACAGAAGCATCAAAAGCTAAAGGAAGTTGGGAAAGTGCACATGGTTCCTGGGTAATCAATCTTCTAAACTCCAGAAGAGACTCCCAATCTTGAGATAAACAGTGGTTATAGAGAAGAAAATCATACTTATTTTTTTCCTCCCAGAAAGCAGGCAAATCAAAGCAGATTACACAAACACCTACTCTTTTCTTTACTGGTAGGCTTAAAAAATAAGAAGTCATTTCAGCTGAACATCTTGACACGAAGTGTTCTTGATCACAAGTAAGTTTATGCTTCTACACAACAAGCAAACACTCACCTCCAGCCCTTCCATCTTAAGTATGGTTTTAATTTTTGTGTGAAGTCGCTGGCTACTGAGGCATAAACCTACATCATTCTTGATACAAAGACTCCAGGCACGCTACACAAAAGCTGAGGCACAAGGTGCATCACTGACATTTAGAACACTTGCAGCTGTCTCACACACATGAGGATGTTCCTTACTCCATTTTGGTTTTATTTTTAAACTGCTCAGGGAAAAATGGAGAAACAACCAGCCCCCCTTTCCCCCAAACTAAGTGGGACTCAATGATTCTTGTTGGTCCCTTCCGATCAGGATATTCAATTATCCTCTGAACAAACAACACTGAAAAGCGTAAAGCCACAAGGGACTGCTACCTGACAACAGTCTAAAATAGGATATTACACTATTACTCCTTCACCCAAATCAACAAGTAGCATTTGATTAACATTTCCAAGAAAGGTACCTCAATTCACCTCAATGATATCGACAAAATTATTAGACTGCAATGCTACTGAAGATACCTTCTCCTCCAGAAACAAGCCCAAGAAAGATTCAAATTGCATGTCAGGATTATTCTCTTGACCTTTATCTTTGGATTATGAGATTTATAACCTTAAAACACCTAGCAGAGGGCATTCAGGGGAACATACATTTACTTTCTCATCAAAACGAAATTCTAGGGTGTCTCATTACTGCTATTTTAAAAGGGCAATATCAGAAAACATGCTGCGACCACCCCCAAACATCAAATAGATTGAGACACTTACATATGCTTTCAAAGTTCTTCTCAATGAGTACCAACAGAAATAGCGAAAGTTATATAGCTTGTGTATTTGTACTACGAGTAGTGCTAAGCTCAAACCTCTGTTCATTAGTTAAAAGCACCACATAGCTACAGATGATGTAAAATACAAAGTCTGACAGAAGATGTTTTTGCAGCATCTCAATTTCTGTGTTCCCTGATTCCTGCCTTGTTCCCCAGGAGCCACTACAGCATCAGCATGTCTACACAGAAGACTTAAGCCTACCAAACAGAATTACTTCTCCTAATTACCTTCCCAGATGCCTTCAAAGTGTAATACAGACCAAAGTTCAGAGAACAGAGACCAACTAGGATTCTAACTGCTGAGATTCTAGAAATAAGGCCAAAAGAGACCTTCGGGGCTGCCAACAGCATAAAGAAAAATTACATTATATAATTTTCTTCATAAATGATCCAGATTCTCTACCTTAAAAAACCCTAGAAATAATGGAGGGAAGAGCCCCAAATGAAAAACTACAAAGCTGCCTCAAAGCCTCACTGAAGTTGAAGAGCTCCGCAAACATCCTGATTTCCTGCTGCAATGTCTCCCGTCACCTCGCACCCAGCTGCTCTTCTGCCAATGCTGTCCGTTACTTTAAGGAGCTCTGACAACATTTCTATCTCTGAATTACCCACACTGCTCCCTTTTAGTCTCACAGCCTAAAATAAAGTCCGTCATTCACAGCTTTAGGGAGCATTTCTGTCCTTACACTAAAGAGGAGATACAAAACTTGCTCATATGAACTAAGCAAACTATGCAAAGAATTTACGCTTCTTTCTAGCAATGCTCTTCCATCTTCTGGCACCCCCAGTTTCTCCTGCCTCTTTTCTCCAAACCTCCAATGCTTTTCATATGTTTTAAAGCTAGCAATAATCCATGAATAAACTTGACAACTAGCAGCCTCAGAGCTCAGTTCTGCAGTACGGTGCCTAATTCCAGATACTGACATCACGAACTGCTATGTAAATATGTAACTTTTCTACTTACAAAAAGTCCTTATTTTCCTCTTTTGTTTTTCTGCAGAAAAAGTTTTTGTTGTTGTTTGGCTTTTTTAAACATCATCTTGTTAGACCTGAAATGAAAATGTGCACCTCTAGGCACTTGAAAGAAAAGCAATAGAAGCGAGATTCTTCAGCAGGAGCAGCAGAGGAGGCAGACGTGATGCTCAGCAGCCCCTTTTATCCCACAGCACACAGGATACACATCGCTTGCTGGAGAACTGGGTTGTCTTTTTGCCTAAAGAACTTTGAACCCTCATATCCCACATGAATGCCGGAGTATTGGGGAGGAGCACTCTCACCTTTCTGGCTCAGGCTCCCTCCCACCTCGTATGAAGATTTTGTTGTGGTTTTTGTGTTGTTTTTTTTTTTTAAATTTTTTTAAACGTTCATTAAAGCAGATGCAGCTACTGCCTGTGAAGACTAACACTCAGCTTCATGCCATTCTCTTACTCAGCTCAAGTGAAGCATCTCATTTAAAAACAAAAAAGCTCTGGGCTTGGGAGTGAGCCCTTTTGACACATGGACCTCTGAGACAGCCTTCTGTTAGCACAACAGCCCAAGCTGCACGGAGCACCCTGAATACCCAGAAGCTGAAAAATGGTGGAGGATGTTCCAGAGTGACAGAGGCAGAAGGAGGGACCAAACCCAGACCCTAAGAAACTTCTGCAAACTTCTCAATCATTTCTCTTTCATGATGGTCTTCATTTTATGATGGGAGAGAGACTCAAGATTGTGAGCTAAACATTGAAAAAATATTTCCATCTAGAGCTGCTCACTGCTGTCAGCAAATTGACAAATGACCCGATGATAACAAACACTTTCCAACCAGCCATTGCCTAATTTACTATTTATCAAGAAGTCTTGCCCAGCCCTAATCTACATCTTGCAAAGCAGGCAACTGTTTCATTTATCTGCTACACCAGCTGGTAACCAGATGATTACACGTTGTTTGCCCCCTGCTTTCATCTGGGAAACTGAGTTGAAGAGACAGTTGTCACATTGTAAAGATTTACACTAATATTGTTTTCTGATACAGAACTGCTGTCATTGAAAGGGGCACACATAAATGCAATAAGAGATGCTACTGTCTTAACAGACTAAAACACATGCATACCCTCAGCATCCCACTCATCCTAAATACTGACCTTAAAGGGTAGCCAGACAAAGCGTGGCTGAAGCACAAGAACGTGGGTCACCCAGAGCCCTGCCCCATGTGTCACTTCAGCTACTATTACACTGTTTTCATTAATGAAGAAACTAGGACAGCCATGTAACTTCAGTTGAGCATTAATCCACTGCAACCTGTGCAGAACTGGAGCACTGCACACAAAGGTGATGAGGTAGAAACCCACATAACACAAGGATTGTCTTATTCACTGTACTTATCCCAATGCCCTTTGCATATTACTTGCTCACATTTTACCAGAAAAAAAAGCCAAAAAAACCCACCAACTAATAAAAATTATTGACCTGCTTGCTTTATGCTACTGAAAATACCTCAAATGAAAGAAAAGTGTGCAAGCTATTTTAGTAATCAGCCAGCTATCACAGTAAGAGTCAGCATGCCAACAGCTTACACAAGCACTGGGTAGTTAGCACTGTTAAAAATATAATTATTTAATGTAAAGCAGCACTCAATACAAGCTGACTTTCATTTACCAGCATACTTAACTGAAAAGTGAAGTAATTCTTTAATTTGGAGGATGGGACAAGAGGCAGAAAGCATGAAAGCATGAGTCTTATTCCAGTACTATGAGAAGTACTATGAGAAGTTTGTCCTCCTTGTTATGGACAGGAAGAAAAAGAGGAAGGAGGGAAGAGAAGAAAGGAGGGGTAACAGATCAAGGATATTTATTTATCAAAGATGAGCAAGGACTTCCTTGGTTCCAGTTAAAGATTCCCAAGTAATGGGAAACTTGTAAAGTGAAACTATTTTAACTTAATGAGTGCAGAAGTAAACTGGTATTTAGAAGGACACTTTAGTAGTAGTTGTTTAACCATTTTTATGCAAAAAAACAGGAAGGATATAGGATCAGACATTTAAAAAGTCACTGCCGCCATCCACAAAGGACCAGAGCGCTTCCACTTCAGCTCCAAGGACTTCAGGAAGTACTCTGGACAAGCTAAGATGTGGAAGACAGCATTTTCCCTTTTGTTCTTACCGAAATGCAAGCTATTATTTCTGAATCTTACAAATGTGAACACT